CGACGCGGCCAAGCACAGGCTGCTGGTGCTGGTCAAGGACAATGGCGAGCCCGCGCTGTCTGCCAGCGTCACGCTGCACGTGCTGCTGGTGGATGGCTTCTCGCAGCCCTACCTGCCGCTGCCGGAAGTGGCGGCCGACCAGGCGCAGGCCGACCCGCTGACCGTGTACCTGGTCATCGCGTTGGCGTCGGTGTCGTCGCTGTTCCTGTTCTCGGTGCTGGCGTTCATCGCGGTGCGGCTGTGCAGGCGGAGCAGGGCCGCCTGGGTGGGTGGCTGCTCGGTGCCTGAGGGCCACTTTCCGGGCCACCTGGTGGACGTCAGCGGCACAGGAACCCTGTCCCAGAGCTACCAGTATGAGGTGTGTCTGATGGGTGGCTCAGGGACCAGCGAGTTCAAGTTCCTCAAACCGATTTTCCCCAATGGTCTGGTTGAAGACATTGAGCAAGAGTAGTGCAAAACTGCAATTGCAGGAATAGCTTAGGTTTCATTAATAGAAGAATAAAAAATAGTTATTTGGCTATGAATACTTTCTTTCAAAATCAAGAATCTTTAGTTGATAATAATTTTGTTTATATATTGATTTTAGTTTCTATCAAGGTAGTTAATCCTTGCATATTCTTACCTCTTTTCTTTCTTACCAATGCAGTCTTAATGCCTCCTTTTCTTTTTCTAATAGGTGAGTAAAAATAAATTCATTATGTTTTAATGTTGACTTCAAATAGGTTTATTTTAAGTGACTCATTTCAAATTTGATATCCATAGCAAGTGAGATAATGTTCCTTATAATATTCCTAAAGCAGCTTTTCTATGGTTAATGAAGTTTGTGGATAGATAAGAATGTGTTCTCTTTCAGATGTTCCATCTTTAAGGCACAGCATGTTTTTAGGGGTATAGTACCTAAAAGAAAGTGATACATTTAATTCGTTTTGTTTTTACATTTGCAATTAATATTTCAATGTTGCATATGCTTATATTGGCTCAAAGTGGACAAAATATAGGCTAATAGGGCAAATTACTCTTAGGTTTGCCTAAAGTGTATTCATGAGTTAGGAAAAATTAAACCTAAGGCATTTCGAACAACTGATTGTGCTTTTCCATTTGATATGAAAACATTGTTTAGGAAGGCATCTTGTGGGATGACAATTTGGTATCAAAATAAAGTGAAATTTGCAAGATACGAAAGGCTTTGAATGAAGTTTAAAATCACCTATCACTTGTTTTCAAAACATAATTCTAGATAGTGTGCACTTGCCTTTTTACCTCTCTGAAAACATTTATTCATAAATAATTTAAACATTTTCTTGACATTCACAATCTAGCTTTCAACACTGAAAAGCAAAGAGATGTAAATGAAGTTTAAACATTTCTATAGACTGTTAAAAGACTGAACTATATTCAATCATCACTCATTAAAACTAGTGAAGTAACTTACGCTTTTTATAAATCTTTCTTAATCATGATGTATGGCTTTCTTGCAAATGAGGACTTTTTAAAAATATGAAAATGATTCTACGCATTCCACTACTTTATTCTGGGAATCTTTTGCTTCTTGGAGTAGATTTTATGTGTTAAAGCTGGAAATCTATAGTCATAATTCAGAGTAATTTTATGTTTAATACTCATAATCTTTGCCAACAGTTAGGTTGATCAAGGATTTTTAAAGTCATTTTCCTTCTCTTCTTTTGGTATTTAACACCGTTGATGAAAAGTGGTATCAGTCTAGTTCTTATTCTTTATCTGTAAAGTTCTTAACTCTCTTTTAGATTTTTAAATTTATTCTTGATGTTCTGAGACTTGCTAGGTCCTAACTTGAAATTTACTGAATATACTGAATTTTCTTTTGTTTAAGTAACTGTAGTTTTCTTTTTCACAATTTCCATTTGGCAAGCTTTCACAACAATATGTTCCCCTCCTGCACAATTACTATTTCTTTCTTTTTTATTTGAGGAAATTAAATCTTTTACTTTTAACTTCTTTATATATTGTTCTGAATCTCTGTATTTTATTTATACATTCTTTTATCTGTTGAGTAAAATTTTCAGCTGTTAGTCTTCCTCATATGCTTGCTGATATTTTATTGAGAATTCATCTCCTATTGGAGGTTTCCCTCAGACCTGGTTTTGGTAATCTTGTGGAAGGGAAGAAGAGCACCAGACTCTACAAATTCAAGCCTTCATTAAGAAGCCTAGCTCAACTTTGCCACACACAGGTAGAAGTCCTATGAACACCTATTGATTTGTTTGAGCTGGATCCCAGTTTCCCTTGGGTGGCATTTGCTCCTTGAGGCAAAAATCTCAGGGAATGTCATCCTCTGGTTGTTATGTGTCTGTTAAGGCTGTAGACATGGGAGCTAATGGAAACATTTTTTACTTTTCAAGCTTCAGAGTAAACAAGCTGATCTGAATAATAATCAAGCTGATTTTGAGGAAAATTGAGTTGAAACTGAAGTGATACATTGGGGTTACCTACAGGAAAAATTATGGTCTTGATTAAGAGGCATGACAGTGCTGCACATGGCAGTTCTGTATGACACACAACATGCTGGATGACAAAATAAAAAACCTTTGCAAAGCAATTCTATATTGTACACTGAGTTGATGCCAGTAGAACAAGGTGCTAACCTGGATGGTGACTTGAGTTAGAACTCATGAGTATTTTATCAATGATTGAAGGTCTCAGAGTGAGTACTTGATATTTAGCATGCATATTTAGGCTCCTATGTAATAGCCACAGCTAGACATGAGCTGGTGCTATTATTAAGAACAACTAGAAGCCACCTTTATTTGGTATGGTAATTCTACACTTGGCCTAGTACCTATCCCAGCCCTACCTCCCATTCATTGAATCACCCACAGAAGTTTACCCAAGCCTACAGGTTCTCTTGTTCACTGACTTGACTCAGCTGTTCACTGATACTCAGATGTGGAGGATGAACAGGGAACCTTCAATGGACTGCTGCATACAGGCTATTTCTAAGTATTTTGAGGATATCAACATCACTGGGACTGAGTCCCAGATCTGTTATTGTGAGAGGTTTCTGACTGGAATATCAGAGACAAAAGGGTTTAGATTTCTGAAGTCATTGTCTCCAACTTATATGGGCTATGCACAAGGAGAGACTTTCACGAGAAACAACTTATAGAAAAATTTGGGGTTTATAAAAAATTAAAATTGTATCCTCTAAATATTGTAATTTTGAGGGTTTTTTCCTTAAATTTCTTTGTCTCTGGGGAAATGGATTTCTTCACCCTGAATGTCTCATCCTATTCCACGAGATTTTATCAACATTTAATCAGCAATAAAAAAATTTCCACAAATAAAAGCCCAGGATTAAATGTCTTCACTGGTGAATTCTACCAAATGTTTAAAGAATTAAGACCAATCCTTCACATCTTGTTTAAGAAAAGGAGCAGAGACCAGTTCCCAATTCATTCAATGAAGCTAGTATTACCCTGATGCCCAAATCAGACATAGATAACACAAGAAAAGAAAACTAAATATATCCTTTATGAATATAGAGGCAAAAATCCTCAACAAAATATTAGCTAACTGACTCCAGCAACATACAAAAGGGACCAAGTGGGATTTGTCCCCAAAAAAGCAAGATTGGGTTTAACATATGAAAGTCAATCAATGAAACACACCATATTAACAGGAAAGGACAAAACCATACAACTGTCTCAATAAATGGAGAAAATTATTTTACAAAATCCAATGCTTTTTCATATTAAAAACTCAACAAATAGGAATTATAGTATATGTACTCAACCTGATATAGGGCAACTATAAAAACCCACAGCTAACTTCATATGCAATGGTGAAAGACTGAAAACTTTCCCTCTAAGATCTGGAACAAACCACGGATGTTCCATTTCACTGTTTCCATTTAACATTATACTAGAAGTTCTAGCCAGGGCAACTAGACAAGTAAAACAAATAAAATAATTCAGATTGGAAATGAAGAAGTAAAATTGTATTTGCAGATAACACAATAGTCCATAAAGAAAATGCAAAGGAATCCACAAATACTACTAAAATGGACAAATGATTTTAGCATTAGACAACCGCAAAATGAAGAAAACAATTCCATTTATGATTGCATGAAAAAGAATAAAAAACTTAGGAATAAATTGAACAAAATAAGTGCAAGATTTGTACACTAAATACTATAAAACATTGAAAAGAATTAAAGAAGACCTAAGTAAATGAAAAGTGTTCACAGATTGGAAGACTTAATATTGTGAAAATGGTGATACCCTCCAAATTGGTCAACAGATTCAACACAATCTCTATCAAAATCCCAGCAAGCTTTTTTGGGGGGACAAAAATTGGTAAATTGACCCTAAAATTTATATGAAAATGCAGTGGACTCAGAATAGCCAAAACAATTTTGATAAAGAACAAAATTGGAGGACTCACACTTCCTGATTTTAAAGATGTAGGATCAGTTAGACATTAGATATTTGAATAATTCGCCACATTAAAAATATAAATACCATATTTTTATTTAGTATGTAACTATAGAGAATTATTAAAAATTGCCTTAGATTTCATCACAAATTTCTCAAGCTACCCTTCTTGATTTTAACTTTATACCCTACTACCATTTTAAAAGATCTATACATAGATGCTTTTTCTTTTTTATTGATTTCAGAGAAGAAGGGAGAGGGAGAGAGAGAGAGAAACATCGATGATGAGAGAAAATCATTGATCAGCTGCCTCCTGCACACCCCTCACTGGGGATCAGGCCCGCAACCCGGGCATGTGCCCCTGACCAGAATCAAACCTGGGACTCTTCAGTCCGCAGGTCGATGCTATATCCATTAAGCCAAACCAGCTAGGGCCATAGATATTTTTCCTCCAATATTTAAGACAACAGGGAGTCACTCGTAAATTTTTTAACCTAATTAATGACATCAACAAAATACTATCAGTTTTCCTTTCTATTTCTAAGTTTTGTAAGCACCTCTCTTTGCTGGTACATATCTCTAACTGGAAACAAGCTATTTTAAAGGTTCTTATATTAATTGAAAACTTGAATACAAATATATTTTATCTATGATATCTATGTACCCAAGATCAGGCTCAAGTTTCACTGGGGATCAAGCCCGCAAGCAACCCGAGCATGTGCCCCTGACCAGAATCAAACCTTCTTCAGCAGGTCAATGCTATAACCATTAAGCCAAACCGGCTAGGGTCATAGATATTTTCTCTCCAATATTTAAGACAACAGGGAGTCACTCTTAATTTTTTTAACTGAATTGCTGACATCAACAAAATACTATCAGTTTTCCTTCCAATTTCTAAGTTTTTTAAGCATCTCTCTTTGCTGGTACATATCTCTAAATGGAAACAACCTATTTTAAAGGTTCTTATATTAATTAAAAACTTAAATACAAATATATTTCATCTATGATATCTATGTACCCAAGATCAGGCTCAAGTTTGATCTAAATGATCTAAAAAGTTGTTCACTTCTCCAGTTCCACTTAGGTAGATAAAAGAATGCTTTCTGGAGCCATACTGTAACAGTTTGAATCCTAGCTCTGCCATTTCACATGATGTGTGACTATGAGCAGGTTATGAGTTTGTTTGTTGTTGTTATTTTTGCTTAATCCTTTCATCTTTTTCACCTGGCCCCACCCCATCCCCTCTGCGTCTATAAGTCAGTCTCTATTTTGTTTGAGCAGGTTATTTAAACTCCCTGCACCCTCAATCTCTTCATCTATAAAATGTGGCTAATAAGATGCCCACCTCATAGGGCATTGGAGGGATAAAAATGAATTAATACATGTAAAATGCTTAGAATAATATCTGGAATATAGTGGCACATATTTGTTCTGAGCTCTTTAACTTGAATCTAACTAGAACTTGGTTACTATATTATAAACGATTTGGTCTTTGCTTTTTCCAGATTTGTTTTTCATTTATATCTAAAATAATATCCTTTATTTTTATTTTTTCAGTATGTTTTTTATTTCACTTAATGTTGACATCTATTGTATCTCCTCTGATCTGTCATAAATATGAAATATGAAGTATTTCTAAAGTGTATTAATATTACTGCCATTGCTATATCTCTTGCAGGAAGTAATTACTAGAACTAGAATCAAAGTAAATTTAATTGAATAGTGTTTAGCATGTATTGTACCTACATGTCTCAGAATTTTCTATTCAATTTCAAACATGTTTATGGCTGAATGTGTGATCTGGCAATAATCATCTTATATAGACAGAAACGTAATCATTAGGGTGGATTAATTATTTATTCAACTGCTATTTATTGAATGACTACTATGATCCAGACTTCTTTCAAAATAATTTTCCCTAATAATTTCTATTAGAATCTAAGATTATTGCTAGACTTTAAAAATAATTCATTCAATATGAATTATAGTGCCAAGATAAGTGGTACTCCATTCAATAGACTAATTATAAATGAAAAACTCATTTATCAGGACAATCACAATAGCTGTGCACTGTTCTGAAATCCATTTTGTAAACAAGTTTCTTCTCTGCACCTTATATGAGTAGAAAAGGCCTGAAGCACCCTTTGCTCACAGATTAAAATATTTTAAATCTGGGCTCCTTGTTATCACCCAAATCATCTAGCCAAGATGATATCTGGGACACAAAGGATGAATATGGTAAGATGCAAACTCATTATAAAACATGGATACTTATCTAGCTAAATAAGCTTAAAGTCTTTCTCTTAACAAAATTCTATGATTTTTACTCACTTGATTTTGTCTTGATATTACCCTCTGAGCTTGTTGCTTTATCTATGAGGCCTCCTTTCATTTCCTCTCCAGTTCTAAGAATCTGATTCTAACACTACCTGACTTCCTTCTAAATGTAATGTCAGTTCAAACTGTAAAAGGACTTATACCAAAGCAAGATGCCTCCTCTTTCCACTGTATTACTATTTGCACACCAGTGCAGGAGGATAGAACCTTTCCTTTGAAAAACAGTCTCCTGAGACTATGTGGTACAGGGCACCTTAACAAAGTTTTGCATCATCATAAATTTCTCACAAACTTGAAAATAAACATATACTTTCCATTAATTGTAATTTTATAAGAGTTTGTTCCCCTCGTTAGATGATGCAAGAGGGAAATTGAGTTATTTGAAGTTTCACTGATTAGGTTGTGGGGAGGGGCCTGAAATACACTCTTGTTTTGGACTCACAATTATTCTAGCTCATGCAGTGTAACAGCATAACCTGATAAATTATGCAATTTAATGGCATAGCAACTTCGTAAAAGCTCTATACACTTCAAAAATGGATTTATTTTGGATACTTCCAAAATATACTTTGACTTGAGAATATTTTCTCAATCAAGACGCAGGGTGGCGCTGCAGGCTAAGATTATGAATAAGCTTGCGTATTCCTTTGTTCCAAGACGGAATCAAACTCACACGGAAGAAGCTTTGCTAGCGGTACTGGGTTACCAACGAGTTTGGGGGAAGATACACGAAACGCATTTAATATTCAAAGCAACTTTGTGAGGACTCCACCAAGCAAGAAATCTCAAGTCTTTTTGGTTGCTGAAGGGACTGGCTGTAAGCGCCCGGGTTCCAACATGGAGACGCTAGAGAGAATTCAACCAAACAGGCAAGTGATGGCCTTTATTTTGGCAGTGTTCTTGTCTCAGGCTCGCTCGGAGCCTATTCGTTATTCTGTGCTGGAAGAAACAGAGAGCGGCTCCTTTGTAGCCCATCTGAGCCAGGACCTGGGCCTGGGGGTCGGGGAACTGGCCGCCAGGTCGGCCCGGGTGGTGTCTGACGATGACAAGCAGCGCTTGCAGCTGGATCGTCAGACTGGAGATTTGCTTTTGCAGGAGAAACTAGACCGGGAAGAGCTATGTGGCCCCAAGGAACCGTGTGTATTGCATTTCCAACTGTTGCTGGATACCCCGGTGCAATTTTTTGAAGGAGAATTATCAGTCCAGGACATAAATGACCACTCCCCAGTATTCCCAACTAGGGAAATGCTCTTGAAAATACCGGAAAACAGCCAGCCAGGGACTACTTTTCCCTTGAAATTAGCTCAGGATTTGGATGTGGGCAGCAATGGTCTTCAAAAATACACTATCAGCCCCAATTCATATTTTCACGTTCTTACTCGAAATCATAGTGAGGGTAAGAAATACCCAGATTTGGTGCAGGACAAGGCGCTGGATCGAGAGGAGCAGCCCGAGTTCAGCTTAACCCTCATGGCGCTGGATGGCGGGTCTCCACCAAGGTCTGGCAGCGTCATGGTGAGAATCCTGATCATGGATGTTAATGACAATGCTCCTGAGTTTGTGCGCACCCCATATGAGGTGCAGGTCCTGGAAAACAGTCCCCTAGATTCTCCAATCATTACTGTCTTAGCCAAGGATAAAGATGCCGGAAACTTCGGGAGGGTTTCCTATGGCTTGTTCCAAGCATCAGATGACATTAAGCAAACTTTCTCAATAAATGAAGTCACAGGAGAAATCCGACTGACAAAGAAATTGGATTTTGAACAAATTAAATCTTACCAAGTGGAGATTGAAGCTACAGACGGAGGAGGCCTTTCTGGAAAAGGCACCGTAGTCATAGAGGTGGTGGACGTGAACGACAATGCCCCTGAACTGTCCATATCTTCACTCATCAGCTCCATCCCAGAAAATGCTCCTGAGACCATAGTCTCCATCTTCCGAATTCGAGATAGAGACTCTGGAGACAATGGAAAGATGATTTGCTCTATTCCAGATAACCTGCCATTCGTTCTAAAACCGACTTTCAAGAATTTCTATACCCTGGTCACAGAGAGCCCGCTGGACAGAGAAAGCAGAGCCCAGTACAACGTCACCATCACCGTCACCGACATGGGGACCCCCAGACTGAAAACCCAGCACAACATCACCCTGTTGGTCTCCGACGTCAACGACAACGCCCCCGCCTTCACCCAAACCTCCTACACCCTGTTCCTCCGCGAGAACAACAGCCCCGCCCTGCACATCGGCAGCGTCAGCGCCACAGACAGAGACGCGGGCGCCAACGCCCAGCTCACCTACTCGCTGCTGCCGCCCCACGACCCGCAGCTGCCCCTGGCCTCGCTGGTGTCCATCAACGCGGACAACGGCCACCTGTTCGCCCTGAGGGCGCTGGACTTCGAGGCGCTGCAGGCGTTCGAGTTCCGCGTGGGCGCCACG